ATACACTATTATAACCCGTGCCAGGTGATTTAAAAATTATATACCAGATGCAATATCTGTATATCTCTGTTGTAAGTTTGAGCTTAACTTTAAAATTCCCTCCGACCCAATTCTGAATCTTTTTAATAACCTAGACCATATCTCAAACCAAGTGCTGCCACAGTACTAGGATCCGACTCTCTATATACGGCACCAACAACGACGAGGATGTGACATTTCCGTAAAGGCACCATCACTCGGGTACTCGTATCTCAAGCCACTTGGTGCCGCCACCAGAAATTTCTTTTTTTGACCGGGACTCGTTCCAGGGCCTGTACAATGTATTCGTCTCCAAACACATGATTGCTATCTACCGGTCCATCCAGATTTGGTAAGTAAACAATGCTGATCTTTTGGAGGGTAGGCCAAATCCCCCACTTTTTATGAAAAATTTTTTTGGAAACCAACAAAAAAACGACGAGAGGTAAAGAGGGACCACTTGGGCTTCAAACCAATTTAAAGGAGTGTAAGTTTTCTTTTCTACAGTTAAGACCCACTACCAAACACCTGCTCAACCTTTTTTCCAGTAAGTGATAAACTCTAGGCTTGTTGGCAGGTAGCGTATGAGAACTACCTCTAAATGACAAGTGCTGAGACTATGCAGTGAGTAATAAACTCTAAGCCTGTCGGCAAGTAGCATATGAGAACTACTTCTAAACAACAGGTGCTGTCTTACTGTCTAGGTTTTTAGATCAAGTGCCGGCTTGTAAGGTCTTTTCTTGCTGTAAAATCTTTTTCAGAAAATATGGTTCAAGTGATCGTCAGAAAGAGTTGTGTATGATCTGTTTAAAATAATGGTTTAGTAAAGTATTATTATTTATTATTTCTGATTATTTCTTATAATTTTTTGCATAATAAGTAATAATAAGTAAGAATTATGATATAAGCAAAAAGCTTAATCTGATCAGCAAATTTTTGAGTTTAAAATTTGCATTCCAGTTTATATTTGTAAAACGTGATAAGTAATAATTATTTACATAGGGAATAATTAGTAATAATATATATGTGTATATATTGGGGTAAAAAATAAGTAATTATTACTTACATTATTACCTTGCCCATCTCTACATAAAAGGGATCTATAAGCTTTTATAATAAATATATTATACGAGAAAGTGCTAATAAAAAAAAAATTCGATAGACAAGGATTTATTAAATAAATTAAAGAAACATTTGAATCAAGTTATAATTCCGATCAATAAAGTTTTTATTAATACTGCATTGAAAATTATAATCAAAAGTCGTAGTAAAATCTATAAAAGTTTTTTAATTTATATAATATGTTATAATGAATTTTTTAAAAAAGCAAATTATTGTGAATCAGATAAAATATTAAAATAGTTGATCTAATAACTAAAGAACCTTTGGCTTGTTCGTCTATAGCAAACATCTTAAAAATGCCTAGCTTGTCTGAAGCAACTACTGTTGAATCTGAAATATCAAACTTATCTGAAGTGTAGTAATATCGATATCTTTGTCATTAGCAAATATGCGCTCTTAAACACTCAAAAAATATTAGTGAGGATATAAATCGGCCAGGGCGGCCCCCCAATGTGCAGTTACACATGGCTATATAATATAAATTTACAATCAAACAAATTATCGATGTTGATATCAATAACTTGACAATTGTAATTTTATATTATATAGCCTTTTGTAACTGCACTTTGGGGGGCTGCCCTGGCCAATTCTGAGGATATTCAGGCAAATTATTACATAATCGCTTATTATCATAAGAGAACTATCACTTATTATGTAATTATAGCCCCTCCAGAGTCAGTCATTTGACAATTACAAGTTCTAAAGTAATCAATCGTTTGACAATTGTAAGCTCTAAAATAACCAATTGTATAGAGTTTATATTATGATTACTTTAGAACTTGTAATTGTCAAATAACTAACTCTGGAGGGGGCTATAATTACGTAATAAGTAATAGCTCCCTAATCAAGTACTGGTTCTCTTTATTTATTTTTTTTCTGCCTTTATATTATATTTAAGCTATTTCTCTAAACTTTCTTATACTTCTTTTAAGCCACATTATATTTTTATTTTATCAATTGCTAATCATGCTATATTGATACATCTGACTTCTCCGGGGGTTATTATGATTTTGAATTAAACCAATACAAATTATGAATAAACATATTGTCTAATTAAATTTTATTCAAATAGACACTATTTATTCTCATCCAAATTGAATAGATATTAGACAATTAGACCATTAGATAATTGGACAATAACATTTTGTCTATTCACAACTCTGCCGTACTGGGCTTATTTGAGAAATAATCCATAATCTTTTGGATTTTATCATTATTAAACTTTGATATTTCATTTGCACTGAATGATTTAACATATTTTATTTTATCCAATCCTACCTTTTCAAACAGCTTGAAGATCTTTTCAGCCCTATGAGTTTTTTTTATGCAAACTATCCCTCTGTATCTTGAGATCTTTTCTTATGAAGGATATTAACTTGCTTTACAACTTTATCGTATATTAAACATCTCACCTTCTTTTCACTTTATCACATAAGGCTTTCAACTGAAATACAAAATTTCTTCCATAGTAATGCCAACAAAATATTTCTTCTTGATTTGCTTCTAAAGTACACTCTTCTGCGATAAGTGCTTTATCACATAACTGAGCCAAATGCTCAATCATACTAGTCCTGGGTCCCAAAGGGACCAAACCTATACTGTCAGATTTCCGGGCCGCATGATTAAATATCTCTAGTGTCTTTTCTTTGGTAGATAAAGACATCTCTTGAATCAAACCCTGACTATTTTTTTGTTAATTGCTTAATCTCATCACTAACCTTTTTCTTATACTTCAAGAAAACGTTTATTTCCCTATCCGATATATCTGATCCCCCCTCTGGTAACTTTTTATCACATTGATCCATATCAGAACTAGATACCGTTATCTTTGGTAGCACCTCTAGTATCACTTCCTCACTATCTTGTGTTTACCATTTTCAGACTCGAGTTTATTGATAGCTGACTTATATTTCTCTAGCTCCACTATTTTGGCATTAAGTTTACCAATCTTGGCTGAAGAATCTGCTACAGTTTTCTTCAGCTCGTTGTTTCTGGAATTAAGCTCCCGTCTTAACTCCATATTCTCAGCCTTGATTCTAGCATTTTTTTTTTGCCTAAGTTCGTCAAATTTGGATGACATGATAGATAGATAGTATTTTTATACAAGATATAATATATTCAATAGTCAGTTAATATATATATAAAGATATATATTCTGCCCCAAAAAAGTTTATTAATATATGCAAAAAATAAATATAAAGTTCGGGTCCTAGCCCATGATACATGACGCTTCTATGTGAGGTTTAGAATTGTTACGGGGTGATTTGTATTTTTTTACTATGAAAATATGAAAATAGATAGTTTTTAGGTGATAAGGCAACTCGCCAGAGGCGTGACGATGGTGATTTAGCAATAGTTTAGTTTTA